CCGCCGAAAGACCTGCTACTCCCCTAGAGTTGGCCCGAACCCTCATGATAGATTCCCCTGTGCCCATTACACGTAGATGCTCCAGTAACAGCTACTATGACTATTTCTGCATGCCACTGTGTCGACATATGTACCTGTAAACAATTACAATTATGCCTCCACAGTTGATCATATGCATTTACATTTTTTCCAGTTACACACCCAGCAACCATTGCATTTCCAAGCTGCATTATAGTCCATCTCTCCTTTTAGCGTAACATCCATTATATTTGCAAATATAGATTGCATTTCCCTTTTTTTACGCTGTACTACTACATAGGTTAATACTTTGTTGAAGCTTTAATCATTTTTCGCTGTACTTTTCCAGAAATGTCGAGCTGCATTAAATCTAAAAATCGAGTAGTTGCTCAGAATTTATAACGGCTAAAATATAGATCATAGGGGTATCCATGCCATGTAATATAATTTAAATGGGTGTCTGTATTGTAAACGCTTCCACGCCCTTAGTTTTACATCATAGTAGATTAAAAGCTTACATTTGTGTAAATATAAATGAAATAACGGCCAAAGCAGGCGGATGTAAACGGGTTTTGGCTCTTTTGTGCTAATCGAGTTTTCTCTTATTGCTGTGTCTATTTTAAACACCTAATGCAGTGGCCAGCTTATATAAACGCATTTCTCTCTCACACACACACACACACGCACACACACACGCACACACACCTCGCAATGAATCATTTCGTTTTTGTTTTCATCACTATGCCTTCCTCCTAGTCTTCTTACTTCTTATTCTTTATTCCTTATTTATTTATTATTATTTGTTACTTAGTATTCTTTTTGACCCCTCCCCCCCCCTTCCTTTTCCTGTCTCTCTCTCTACGTCTTATCCCATGGCTTCTCCCCCGCCTCTTTCTCTCTCTTCTTTGCCGTTTCGTCTTCCTCCTCCTTATCGTCATCATCCATCTTGCCCTGTTCCTCTTCCTCCTCCTCCTCTTTCTCCTCCCCCTCCTCCTACTCCCCTTTCTCCTTCTCCTCCTCATTTTCTCATTTCCTCCTTCCTCTTCTTTTCCTCCTTCTCCTCCTCTTACTTCCTCCTTCTCCTCCTCTTCTACTTCCTCTTTCTCCCTCTCCTCTTCCCCCTCCCCTCCTCTACCCCCTCCTTCTCTCCTGCTCCTCTCTTCCCCCCTCCCCCTCCTTTTCCTCCCCCTGCCCCTTCCTTTCCCCCTCGGCCTGGAAGCTGCCCTTTCGACTGGAATATCCGCCTCGCCTTCCCTCTCTCGTAAATTCCTCTCCCCTCGCTCCCCTCGCTCCCCTCGCTCCCCTCGTCCGCAAATATCCTTCCCCATCGCGTGTCGCCGCCATTCCCCTTCCTCAAGATCCTCCCCGGGCCTAATTTGCTGTCGCGTCCATCATGTTTTTGCTGCTGTTGTCGGGGTTGTAGCTCTCCTCGGGATTTTTTTTCTAGTTTTTTTTTTTTTTTTTTTTAGTTTTCTTTTTCCTTGTTTTTTTCCTCTGTCTGTCTTTGTCTGTCTGTCTGTCTGTCTGTCTGTCTCTGTCTGTCTCTTCTGTCTCTGTCTGTCTCTCTCTCTCTCTTCTCTGTCTCTCTCTCTCTCTCTCTCTCTCTCTCTCTCTCTCTCTCTCTCTCTCTCTCTCTCTCTCTCTCTCTCTCTCTCTCTCTCTCTCTCTCTCTCTCTCTCTCTCTCTCTCTCTCTCTCTCTCTCTCTCTCTCTCTGTCTTTCCCTCCTTCTCCTCCCTCTCCCTCTCCCCCCTGGCCGTCCACAAAGCAATAGACGACGCATTCTTTAGATGTTTGAAACCCTCGACCTCTAAGCCATTTCCCCAAACGCAGAGCCACCCAAACTATTAGGTATCAGCGCTTGGTACCCTTCCCCTCCTCCTCCCCCCTACACACACACATACACTAGCACAAACACTTCTACCACAGCTACATGGTATTCACAATGATGAAACTCAACCTGTGTATATAGGATAATCACAACTCCATAATGTGCTAAACTCGACATAACACGAAGGCTGTGGGCTCCGAACGTGGATGTCATGTAGTGTAGCCGCTTCGCAGGCCCTTCCTCATCCATCAGCTTAGGTCATAATGTTGTGTCCACTGTCCATGTGGTTTATGTGAATGGCCACCGTTAACCCTTCGCTTGCTGCTGGTCCAGGGTGGTTGGAGCCATTGCTCGACTCCGTGGCCCGGAGCAGCTGGACGGTGGCCACTCCGGTGATTGATGTTTTGGACGACACGACGCTCGAGTACAAGTACCAGGACAAGACACTCAGCGTCGGAGGTTTTGACTGGACGCTGGAGGTACCCGGAGCCTGCCTGCCCTTGTGCGCACGCGGTTTTCCCTTCTTCCCCTCGGGAGCCTGTACGGGTCTCAACACGCACCTCATTTAGAGCTCTAGGGTTACGGGAGGTCAGTTTCCTTTCATAACACAACGGCCGGTTGGAACACATCTTGCAGATTCATCCACGTTAAAGTACATGGACGTGGCTGCGTGTAACTATAAAATCATTATAAAATCTGACTGCCATAAGCTGTACAAGAGATGATGTACACGCCCACCTGAGTTGCATCATGTCTTTTCAGCAGGATGGATCAGAAGTACTTAAAACACCCTAAAGTACTAACAAACTCTACCTCTCTCTCCGGCAATGACTTAGTGAAAAAAGGTGACAGTTTCCCCTAGATTTTTATATTTCTTAGATCCTGTTCACACGGATTCGGAGAAATTGTCATGTGACTTCGGTTCCCTTCATTTGCATGACGTTGTCTGATCATATTCCCTGATCCGCCAGTGTGCAGTATCTGGCATGTTCGTTGATGCAGACTGTGGACTTAATGTTTCATCTCGACCTTCTACCTCTCTCTCCTTCAGCGCGACTTGACCTTGTCCTTCCCTCGACGACCTCTCCCTTCTGCTTTGTGTCCTTCTGTCCTCGCGTGTTCTCCCTCCATCTACCCTAATCCTCTCATTCTCCTTCACGAATGTCAGTCATATCTTCCATATTAACCGGCAAACATCTCAAGAAGCTGCGACATTCCACGACGACTCCCTCGGCGAGGCAAAGACGCACGTGCAAGCGACGCTTATCGTGACGACAACATCCGCTGAGACGTGTTTGTCGTGTGGGTGGCACTGTTTTTTTTTTAGTCTTTTTTTGTGAACGTTTTTTCGTATCCGTGTATCAATCGGAAAAAAAAAAATGCAGTTGGTGTAGTGATGTACAGCGCGTGATGTGCAGATGAATGACGTTTGAATTGATTTTTGAGCCGTAAGTGAAACATGAAACTGTACTCACGTTTTGAAAGCCATGTGGATGCGTGCGTGCGTGGATATGTCATTTCCCCTGTATACTGTGTGTTTGTGTGTGCCACCGCCTGTGAGGCAGCGTGATCGGGACGACGACACTGACCTGCCCTGCCACCTTAGGTTGGCTGGAGCCACTGCTGAGACGCATCGCCCTCGACCCCCACATCGTCGTGTGTCCTGTCATTGACGTCATCTCCGACGACGACTTCGAGTACCACTACCGCGACTCCTCCGGGGTGAATGTAGGCGGCTTCGACTGGAACCTACAGGTGTGGCTCCCAGGCCCTTCATGTGCACGCCCACACTCACATAGTCGTACGCCCGTGACAGGCAGAGGGAGTGGTAGTCCCCCCTCTTTCGGCTTTCCTCTTACGTGACTTGACGCTCCACAGGGCTACGGGGACACACACACCCAACTCGGCTGTGGGGGAACAGCGCGAAGTCGCCCTCGAGATCAGAATGAGAGAAACGCAATGGAGATTTGCCTGTGCATCTCGATAACTCCTCTGCTCTCCAACTGTACAGTCTAATTGCATGATGGCTTCTCAGACTTGATACTAACAGCGGCTCTCTCAAGGGTTTCTAAGGGTCCTTTTCTCCTTCGAGGTCATAGAGCATCACAGCTTGAGGTAACCGTGCCGTCGTTGGCCAAGCTCGCGAATGGGGTCGATGCTTTGTGTTTGTGTTTAGCAGTAGTATGATCTGTTTAATTTTCTTATTTTAGTTTTTTTTCAGTTTTTTTGGTGGATTTTCATTTTTTTTAATCAGTGATTACTTTTAAGTTGGCATTTGTTTGTTTTTATACTGCTAATATTAATTTTTTTTCAGCAAGAAATATTTATGTATAACACACACGCACATATACATATACATAGTGTCTACTTATTTATATAAGATTTTTATTTATTTGAGGCATTCCCTTATTTTTAAGTTACAGATATTTTTACATTTTCAAAACTAAGGTACAGAAGAGTACGCTTGTGTTAGAATGGATGGAAAATTTACAAAATCAACATCATATTTTGGATTTCAAGAATTTCATCACAGAGTAATCACCATTCATCAGCAATATACATTTCCTTTATTATTCCCAAACCAATGTACCAGAAGCTTCCCGTTTCCCTTGTGTGTTGACCTTATCCACAATTGTCACCAGCTTTGACCTTTCCCCAAAACCTATCCAGGATCCAGCAGTATTATAAACGGTACCTCATCCTACCCAGGACCCAGCACTCTACCCTCTGGTGCCTCGTCTTATCGAAGATCCAGCGATTTCCTGCCCAGTGTCTCGTTTTATCCTGTGGCATCCTCTCCAGTGGCTCTTCCTATCCAGGATAGTCTTTCCGGTCCCTTGTCCTATCCAGGATCCAGCAGCATCCTGTTTGGATATCCAAGTCCTGTCAAGTCCATGTCCAAGTCCACTTCAAGACCTCCAAGAGTCCCGAACCCCTACATGTGTCCTGCCAATCCAAGTCCTCTCAAGTCCGTGTCCAAGTCCACTTCAAGACCTTCAAGAGTCCTGAACCCCTGCGTGTGTCCTGCCAACCAAGCAGCATCCAGTCCTGTTGTCCCGTGCGCCCTGCCTGCCCCTCCCTTCCCTCCCCAGGTTCTGGAGCACCTAGCCAGGGAACCAAACCAGGCACTCAAGTTGCAGGTTGCTTGACCAGGTTGGCTGGAGCCCCTGCTCGACCGCATCGCCCGAGACCCCACAAACGTTGTGTGTCCGGTGATCAACAGCTTAAGGGACGACACTCTGGAATTCCATTACCATGAGGACCCATCCAAGATTTCGGTTGGGGGATTCAGGTGGAATATGATCGTAAGTTGGGCCTGGAGAAGGGCTCAAGCTTGGTGACAAATGATGGTGAAGGAACAAGGGGAGCTTGGTATATCTTTGTTAGTGTAATTTCAACTTGGAAGCTTCTTTATGTGTTTTTTTTTTTTCATTTCTTTTCTACATGATGACATTCTGGCAAAACTAGCCAGGACAAGCTGGGCAGTAGACAAGACCAAGACTTGACCCGTAAGCAGTTCCTTATTAGTGGACTGTATTTCTTGCTGTTCTGAAACAGCTTGATTTCAGTATGATGTTCTTCTGGATTATCCTTAGTTATTATAAAAATAAAAACAAATGCAAATAGTTATTAATTACGTTTGAGAGAAGTAGTTTACTGATATACGTAGGATACAGTATGCACTAGAAGCAGATTTTTCAGCCATACAAAATCGTCCTGATCTGTCTGGCGAATCACTGCTTAACATTTGTAAGTACAACATTGTGCCATTGTGGGTTTTCTGTGTAGAATTCCTTTGCCATGAAGATAATGACTCAACGATGGTTGTCTTAGGTTGGCTGGAGCCTCTGCTGGACCGCATTGCACGCAACCGCCAATCAGCAGTATGCCCCTCTATTGACGCTATCAAGGACGACTCCTTTGAGTATGTGTTGGCCATGAGGCAGGGGGTACCCCCAGTTGGTGGGTTTGATTGGAACCTGAAGGTATGACAGCGTGAGACTGACATGACTCTGGGAGATTTATCTGGTGATGGTGCAAGAAGTTTTGGATAAACAAGGGTCTTTTTTAAGCTGATTTTTACATTTTTACCGGCTGTATTTGACCGAGTCTTTATACTGTAATCTGCTTCTGTACCTCCCCTGAAGTCGTCAGTTTAGGATACACCTCTCCTTGTTATAGGCAGTGTTTCTCATTGGACACTTCTGTACCTCAGGCTGGTTGGAACCCCTTCTTGACAGGATAGCAAGAGCCCCCGCCACTGTCCCTACCCCAGAAATTGATCTAATAATGGATGACACACTTGAGTACAGATATGGCAGTGGTCCTGAGGCCGTTGGGGGTTTCGACTGGAACCTTCAGGTAAGCATGCCCTGCCTGTTCGTCTCTGCAGTGTGTGCTACATGCGCTCATATTAAAATGCTGTAACTCCTTATAAACAAACCACATAAAGCTTTAACCAGAATGGCTCGTCAAGGATTTAAAAGAAACTCTGGTAAATATGATAAGGGTTTGCAAGACGGTGCATGACTTGTCTTGCTATAATTTTGGGCAATTTACAAATCCATGACTGCAGTGACAGTGCGGAAGAGGACATACCCTTAAGGCAGACAAGACAATTTCTTTCTATGACGGAGGAGTATGAAAGATATATGGATTGTATTGTCAGTGGCCCATGTCACTGCAAGATCATGAATGAAAATTGATCTTGCAGTATTTTTTCGTGCCAGTTTGGGAATCCACGGCTTCGTTTACTGCAGACAAGTTCCTAGATTGGTTTCTGTCTTAAAGGAATAAAGAAGATTATTCAAATTACTTTGTGTCTGAGGTGACTAGTGTTGCTGCAACCATCACTGTTGCTAAAGCATGAAGAGGTCGTTATAGGTTGGCTGGAGCCGCTGCTTGACCTCATCGCTCGAGACAGTCGCACCGTCGCGTGTCCCGCCATTGACACGCTGCACGATGAAACGTTCCAGTACGTAGTGGCCAAGAAGAGCGGGGTACCTCCTGTGGGCGGGTTTAGCTGGTACCTGCAGGTAGGGCGGACGGAGCACGCGACCGTAAGGAGATTCTACGAGTATCTTGGGACAGACGCAGGAGGAGGGGTGCACTTTCACAGCCTCAGACCTAAAACCTATCTTGTCCACCATTAGGACAACAATACTGTATCTGTCACTCTTCTTCGGTATATATATCAATATCAAGTCGGTAGTAAAGCTTTTCCACGTTTTGTAATTCCCATTAGAAATGCTCACAGGCTTGTAGTACGTGACTGAAATAAAGCTGTAATCTGCACCCGTAGGAGAAAGCTGCTATTGTATTGTGTATAGAGTCGTAACGAGAGATGAACCTCTCTCTTATATCTTCTGGGAGTGACTAGTGCGTGCAGAAAGTGTGTCTTGTGGTGTTTTATTCCCCCAACCTTGTATAGCATACAGACGCCGCCTGGGTTCCACTTCAACATAATTTGAGGAGATTCATGACGCAGGTTGGCTGGAACCTTTGTTAGACCAAGTTGCGCGAGACCCAAGCCATGTTGTGTGCCCTTGCATCGGCAAAATTGAAACCGAGACTTTGGCTGTAAACTTTAAGGATGTCACCCAGTATGTGGGCGGCTTCGACTGGCAGCTCACCGTACGGATTGTCTTCACGCCCCTTGTTGTTGTTGTTGTTGTTGTTTTCCTGAGACCGCCTGTGCTTTTATCGTGTGTCTGGGAGGGGCTTTCTTGAGCATGTGAGAGTTCTTCCTTTACCCCAGGTTTGTTTCCTTTTGTTTCCGTCTTTAGAGTCTGTGGATCTTTCGATCTGTCGTCTCTCTGTCTTTCTCTCTCTCTCTCTCTCTCTCTCTCTTTCTGTCTCTCTCTCTCTCTTTCTCTCTCTTCTCTCTTCTCTCTTCTCTTCTCTCTCTCTCTGTCTCTCTCTGTCTCTCTCTCTCTCTCTCTCCTCTCTCTCTCTCCTCTCTTTCTCTCTTCTCTCTCTCTCTGTTCTCTCGTTCGTTCTCTCCCGCCGGAGTCCCGTTCTCTCTTCTCCATTCTCTCTTCGCTCTCGTGTCTCCTCGTCCTCTCTCCTCTCTTCCTCTCGCTCTCTGTACTCTCTCTCTCCCTCTCTCTCCCTCTCCCTCTTCGTTGGGTTTCTCTTCATCTCTCTCCCTCTCTTCTCTCTCCCTCCTCTCCTACGACGCGTCTGTCCTGGCCCTCTCCCCCTTCACTCTCCCCTCACCATCGCCATCTTCTCTCTCTCTCTTCGTCTTCTCTTTTCATTCCCTCTCTCATCTCTCCGCCAAGGCTGCTATGTGTGCACCATAGGCTTGGGCTAGCATAGGCGGAAACGGATAGGAATTTAACTCTTCGTCTCTTCTCTCTCGTCTCTCTCTCCTTCTCTCTCCCGCTCTCCTTCTCTCTTGTCTCTCGTCTCATTGTCTCAGCTGTGTCTCTTCAGAGCTGTCTCCTGTTCGACTTATTTTTTTTCCTCGCCTCCGTCCTCTCGATGGTCTCGAGATTTCTCTCTACTTCTTGCTCTTCTCTTCTCGTGCTTCTTTCTCCTCTCTCTCCATCCCTCTTCATCATCTCTCGCCTCTCTCTCTCTTCCTCTTCTCATCTTCTCACTCATACTTCTTTCTTCTCTCTCTCATTTCTCTCTCTTCCCTCCCCTCCCTCTCCCTCTCCTCTCCCTCAACCTCTCTCTCTCCCTCTCCTCTCCTTCCTCGCTCTCTCCCTTATTTCATGAGCATGTGTCACACGTACATGTGAATTCAATATGGTGGGTACTGGATGCACGTGCGGGCAGATGCAGAAGTTTGTGTTGAGCGAAATTTAAAATTATTATAAAAAATTTTGATTCGGAATTGAATTAGGCCCCGGTAGACTCTAGACGGTGGAACCTAGTTCTCTTGCAACGACTCACATCTAGTTAGTTTTCCTTCTAAATCAATGACAAGCCCCCAATCATTGCCCTCCTGGCCAGCTCTTTGGTCACGCCTGATCGCCAATTCCAGGTGGCCACCTCCACTCCCCGATCCAGCTTTTCCTTTTTCCCCACACCCTCCATACGTTAGTCTTCCATGAGGCCCCCACCAACTCTCACCACCGCGCGCACCTGACCACCGCCCAAATAACTACAGAGTCCCTCGCAGCCCACGCCTCCCGCACCCCAGCTATCCCCACAATCCAGGCCACTCCCCTGAAGTCAACCTCCCTCAAAAATGGCCGTAACAATCCGGGCCACTCCCGAAGCCAGCCTCCCCGATCACAAAAGCCAGTCTCCGTGAGCCAGCCTCCCCAATCCAGGCCACTCCCTGAGCCACCACTACCCCCCAATCTAGGCCCATTCCCTGAGCCAGCCTCCCCCTAATCCCCGCGCAGGTTGGCTGGAGCCTGTGGACCGCAATCGCCCTTGACCCGAGCCACGTGGTGTGCCCCGTCATCGGGAACATTGACGACGACCACTGGAACTCACGACCTTCAAGCCCAGGGCCGTGCAAGTCGGAGGATCATTGTGAGGCTCGTAGTACGGAGACTGATCAGCTTCGTTTGTCTCTCTTTCCTCCCCCCCCCCCCCCCTCTCTCTCTCTCTCCTCTCTCGATCTCGCTCTCTCTCACTTTTTCTTGGTGTTTGTGTGTGGTGTGTGTGGGGAGGGGGGGGGGGCGTGAATTCTGCTTCTCTCTCGCTCTCTCTCTTCCGTGTGTGTGTGTGTTGTGTGTGTGTGTGTGTGTGTGTGTGTGTGTGTGTGTGTGTGTGTGTGTGTGTGTGTGTGTGTGTGTGTGTGTGTGTGTGTGTGTGTGTGTGTGTCTGTGTGTCTGTGTCTGTGTGTGTCTGTGTGTCTGTGTGTGTGTATATCTATAATATATATATATATATATATATATTATATATATATTTAATACACATACACACATATAGACATACACATCACACATGCAAGCGTATTACCTGTCCCTCCTTTTTCTTCCAAGCGGGGTCGGTGAAGGGCACCTGTGTGTTTTTGACGGAACCACGCCGAGCCTGCGCCAGAAAGCTTGCGGTGGAAAGGCTGAAAATAAAAGGAAGTCTCCCTCCGGCAGATGGCTCTCTTTGGCAATCACCTTCCGACAGATGGCTCTCTTTGGCACTGCTTTTGGACTGCTGAGAACACACGCACTGGAGAGACTCTCGGGGACCTAAGTGCAGTGTGAATCCGCGCCGCGACGAAGGATTTACCCGGGAAGGAATAGTCCGTCTCGCCATTAGGATTTCAGACTGGAAAGGATTCAAAATCTCAGGACACACAGGATGAACTGGACATTTTTTACCGGGATTTTTTTCGGAC